TATATATATATATATATTATGTTAATAGTTAGATTCTTTAAAAATGTTTTTACATGCCTTCACCAATTATTTATTTTTGATTGATTAAAAACATTCGAACATATTTAATACTACATACATCTTAACGTATTCTATATATGTAGTAGGGTATATAATATTACGTCATGCAGATAGTCCATGTTATAGTACTCCAAGATTCATTCTAAAAATAGACGAATCGGGTCATTTTCAAGAAACTATTATAAAACTGAATAATTCATTTTTGTCTGAACACGATATCTCAAATATTGCATTAAAAATTTATAAATAATAAAAAAACTATTAAATTCAAACGCAAAAAGATACAAAGGGCAAAAAGGAGAAAAAAAATTTTAACAGTTAAAAAAGCAAAAATCATCTTTTAGTAAAATAGCTTATGTTTATGAGCGACAATCTACATTTTTTTTCTGTTGAAGTATATATCAGTACCCGAACTCAGTACTTGTTCTCAAAGTATATCTCAAAGTAAATTTTAAATATATATTATTAAACGGAAACAGTTCTTAATACAATTTATGTTGCGTGTTCTTAATAACTGAAATTTTATTTAACATCACGCAAAAGCTTATGACGCCCAGTGGCTGAGTGGTAGCGATTCACGCTTCCGTGTCACAGGTCCTGGGTTCGATCCTCGGGCTGGGCAAGGCTGTATCAGCCATTCATCCCTTCATTGGGTCGATAAATGAGTACCAAGCATGCTTGGGAATTAAACACTGGGGGTTTCGTGTTCGGCTGACCACCTAACCGGAACATCTGCTGCATCCTAGAACCCAAGGTCAAGAAAACTGAGATGGCCAGTAACAATTTATATTATTTATTATTGACGTGATGCTGTAAAAATTTTAGATTTAGCTTGAAATAAAAATCCATAAAATTTTCAGTACATATATTATCCGTAATTTAGTTTCAATTCTTTATTAATTTTCGAAAAATTTAGATTCTAGAAATATTCTAATTAAATTAAAAATAAATTATTAATTAATTAAAATATCCAATTAGTACTTGTACTCTTCGGCAAATCGTGATTTTTATATTATGCGCTTTTTTAGCTAGTTTTTTGAAATTGGTGTGCGTGCACTAAACAGTGTGAACATTTGCTAGAAAAAAGACTCAAGATAATACAATAAAATGATCTAAACATACCAACCAAACCTTGACAATAATAAACGGTTTTCAAAGCTCTTAAACGATTTTTCACGATAATATTTTTGTAGATTAAATTTACGCAAAGCTCTAAAATAACTGTTGGTGAGTGAATGTAAAATAAAACATATGAAGTTGTTTTTTTAACTCAGTGCTAAATTGAAAAGTATTGTGATATTAACATATATTACTTCACGCACATTATTGATTTTATTACGGGTTTATAGAGAAATATAAAACTCTAAAATATTAATATATAGCAAAAAAAACTAATCTGTACATAAATTCATAATGATTTATAAACATTTAAATTATTTTAACTTCAATTGGAAAAATTTTATCATAGTTTATTTGGGAAATTAAAAAAGAATGAAAAGTTTTTTTTTTAATATATATATATAAATTTTAAAACGCGCTGAAGCGCAATATCACTCGAATTTCCGCAACTGAACCATCGTATCTCTCAAATAACGCATCATAATGATAGTTCCAAAGTTCGACTGAATTTAGTTTATTTATTTCCAATTTTGTATTTTATTGAAAATCACAAATAGTATATTTCATATCTAGTATTGTTGCAAAAATTTTCTTAAATTTAAATTTTTTTTTTCAAAAATTTCAGAATTAATTTTATTTTATAGAAATCTGCAATGCAAATAATTTTCAATAGAAATTGACTTGATATTTTCTTATAAAAATTTAAATTGTGATAATTTTTTTAGTAATTTGTATTCGATAATTTAAAAACGTATTCATAAAATATTGAAGTTTTAAATGCAAGCTTATTTATATTATTAAATTGCTAAAATAAATTAAATGATGATAAAGAATGTATAAAAACTTTATTTTTTATTTATTTATTTACTTTTTAATTAAAATATTGACTCAGCAAAACTAAGAATTCAAATCAGAATGCACAGTTTTTGGTAAAATAAAGTAGTACACAGTTTAATGCATGCAAATATGATTTTCTGATAAATGAACCTCAAATCTGAAATGTCCCACAAAATGAATTATTAAAATAATTAAAAATATGCAAGAATTTACAAAGAAAATTTGCTAAACTTTCAAGTTTAATGCATATATATTGTAGAAAAAAAATTAGAATTTATTTTACAAGCATTTCAATAAATTAAATATATTTCCATTAAATTGATTAACAATGGTGTTAACATATTTAAAACTAATAAAATACATACATTTTAAATAAAATGCCTTATATCTATCATGAAATCAAATAATACAGAAATGTTAGATATTTACTTACATTAGTGTCCAAATTTTATCTGAAATTCAATAAAACCCCTTTTTTTAATTTTAATTGAATATCATCATAAAGTTTCAAAAATTTTATTTGATAACACAAAATTTATTTGAAATTTTTATTTTAATACTACTCTAACATTTGAAAAAAAAATTGAAGCGTGAAGCGTAAAAAAATGCATGATATCACACAAAAGGAAAAGATGCTAAAAAGAGAGAAATAGCATCCTGCTCCTCCGCATCAGCTGTTGGGACGAAAGGATGCGAAAGAGGAACTGTGTGGAGAGAGAGTGAATTGAGTGGAGAGAGATCGGGGAAGCTATTGCCCTACTTCCAGCATCTATTCAAAGCGCATGCGCATCTGACCCCCGAAAGGGCACCCTCGGATTGCTGGGCATTATGCTGAGGAGAGCTTCTGGACCTCCACTACCCCCTCTAAATGTGTGGTGGTATGTGAAGAAGAAAAAAAGGAGGGATCTCATGGGACCCATGAGGGTCCCGCATCCGATCGTCGAATAGGAAGTTGCGGAAGAGATTTCTACAGTTTGTAGGGGAAAGCAAATTCCCGTTGCGGATACCCCAAATTTGCTGGTTTCTTTGGATTTTGATAAATGGAAATAAAGCTGTAGCACATAGAAAGGCTAATGATACTCTGGCCAGATGTAGATGAAATGTGATTATAGTACATTTGGATTTGTATTAATTTTTTAAAAAAATTGTAGATTTTTAAAAGGGTATTTTTCAATTTTCTTTCATTTTCCTGAATTCTTGTGGAAGAGATTTCGGGTGTCCGAAGAGGAAAGCAAATTTCCGTTGCTGATACCCAGAATTTAATCGATTCTTTGGATTTAGATAAATAGAAATAAATCTGTAGTACATAGAAAGGCTACTGATACTCAAGCCAGATGTAGATAAAGGGTAATTACAGTACATTTGGGTTTATAGTAATTTTGAAAAAAATATAGATATTTGAAGGACTAGTTTTTAACTTATTTTTTTTAATTTATTAATTTTATTTTCCTTTTAAACAAAAACATTTATAGAAGTAATTTTTAGACTTCGTAGACGAAAACAAATTCCCATTTCCGATACTCCAAACTAGCTGGATTCTTAGGATTTCGATAACTGGATATAAAATAATTAGCTGTTGTACATAGAAAAGCCAATGATACTTTTGTCAGATGCAGTTAAAATGCGATTATTGTACATTTGAGTTTATGTTCAGTTTAAAAATAATGTGAATTTTTAAAAGGCTATTTTGTTTTATTTTTGTGGATGAGATTTCCTCAGTTTGTAGGGGATACCCTATATCGTATACCCCAAATTTTCTGAATTCTTTGGATTTTGATAGACAGAAGTAAAGTTGTACTATATAGAAAGGCTAATGATACTCTAGACAGCTGCTGATGATATGTGATTAAAGCACAAATGGGTTTATATTTGTAAAAAAAAATGTGCTTTTTAACACTCAACACTCAAGATATACACTCATATATCACCATATACACTCAAGAGCAAAAACATTATGACCACCTCTTAATAACGAGTTGGCCCACCTTTAGCCCGCATCATAGCTGCAACCTGCCTTGGCATGGGTGCCACAAGTTCTTGGTAGATGGCCGGAGAAAGATTGTACCAGATGTTTAAGCAACGGTCACGCAAATCCGAAATATTGCGACTTAGTGGTCTTTGAAATCTGAGCTGCCGTTCCATGACATCCCAAATGCGTTCTATCGGATTGAGATCCGGTGAGTTAGGAGGCCAGGTCAATAACGGGAATTCAGCATCATGTTCCTGGTACCACTCCAACACAATTTGAGCCTTGTGTCAGGGGCGTTGTCCTGTTGGAAGATTCCATATCCATCTGGAAAAACAGAGGCCATGTAAGGGTGCAACTGGTCCGCAATGAAGTTCAGATAACCTGCAGCATTCATGGTCTACCATTACCACGGGTCCCAGAGATGCCCAAGAGAACGTCCTCCAAAGCATATTACCGCCACCACCGCCATGTGTATGACCTACTGTACATTGAGGGAGCAACTGTTCGTCTGGAAGACGGTGTATCCTGACACGGCTATCGGCGTGATTAATGACAAACCGTGATTCAAGGCGTGGTTGGCGATGACGCTTGGTCAGCAAAGGTACACAAGTGGGACGTTTGCTGCGTAGCCCCATATTCTACAGTGTCCGCTGAACATTGCGCTCTGATACTATTCTACGTGAAACTGCATTGTATTGGGCTGTCAGCTGAGTCACTGTCTGGCTCCGGTTTTGCTTCACCAAGCGAGACAATCTTCGAAAACCTTTCCCTTTGATAGAGTGTGAACGTCCAAAACCATGTCGTCTACTGCTGGTTTCACTGTCAATCATCCACTTTGCATAAGTACTAACAACTGTTGATCGCGAACAACCCACGAGTCGTGCAGTTTCGGAAATACTTGTTCCGAGAATTCGAGCCATTACAATCTGCCCTCTATCAAAGTCACTTAGATCCGCAGCCTTTCCCATCACACACAGAAATAAGTGAAAGAATGATTTTTCAAACACTCCAGCAACAGTTAAATACCACTTCCACCTTTCCACCTGATCACTTGCCTTCCACGTCATCCAGAAGAGTTCATTGCAAAATGTAGGGGTGGTCATAATGTTTTAGCTCTTGAGTATATATATATATATATATATATATATAAAAGATGCATATATATATATATATATAAA